ACATCCGCAATGACGCTGACCTGGGGGTGACTACTCGCTGCTACCAGAAAAAGAGGGTTTATTTTAATCTAGGTACCACGTATGTCAATGGATCGAAATACCCCTGGAAGGTGTCGGGCCAGGCTAAAATAGGACGAGATTTATTACACGCGATAATAATTACAGGCGCGAGAGTAAGATGAGGAATAAGTAGATCACAGACGTCTTTTGATACAGGAACGAAGCGAAGTGTGTCAGTCGGCACTGTAAATAGCAAGTGAACGCGGACCACGAACGTCGGATCCTGGAGCTTATATACTGCTCTTCCTGTAAGCAATATCGTGAGTCACAATCTCCGAAAACGGGGATTGAGAATGATCTGCATGGGAATCAAAGAAGGGATCTGACCATCGTAGATTTTATCTACGGTGGAAAAAGCGAGGGGAGCATAGGTAGTTTGGGAACGAGGGAATCGGATTCCTCTCGGAGATCTGATCTCCGGTGGGAACGTCGTTCCCTGACGTCCCGCTGGAATGTTATCGAAAGATGACTAAGCATTTTATTTTATTTTATTTTCTGGGTTTCATCATTTGGGATGGGGGTAGGGGACAAGGCGATATATTCGCCTTTACACATGGGTCCGTAGCTTATACCCGACAACGCGAGAATGCTGCATTTAAATCTGCAAGGTCGTACGTGGGCAGGGGGTCATTACCCTAAAATTTCAGCCTCTTAGATTCCATGGCCCCCGAAGTAATAATTTACCTGCCAAAATTTTCATTGGGCCGTAAGCGATACCCAAGAGTGCGCGAACACTGAATTTGAATTTTCAAGGTCGTACGTGGACAAGGGGTCATTACCCTAAAATTTCCTAAAATTTCAGCTTCGTAGGTTTTGTAGTTCCCAAGATGACAATTTTCCTCGCCAAAACTTTCCTGGGGCCGTACATGAAACACGAGTATACGGCGAAAAGGGGGCTGAATAAAAAATTCCTGGGTCGGAGGTGCGTAGAAGACATTATCTTAAAATTTCAACTTCACAGCTTTCGCGGTTTCCAGAGCAATAATTTCCCCCACCAAAGCGTTGGCGGAGTCATACGTAGTACTTGCGAGTAAGTGAGGGCCGCACTTGGTACCCCAGGGTAAATGAAAGCTGAATTCAAACTGGAGAGGTCGTACCCAGCCGAAGAAAATTCTATTGGAGAATTTTCAGCTTTCTAGCTTCCGTGCTTCCCGAGATAATAGTTTTTCCCACTGAAGTTTTTGCGGGGTCATACATGGCACCCGCGGGTAAGTGAAAGCCGAATTGCACGTGAGTGGGGAACATTTCACCAAAATCTCAGCTTCCCAGCTTTCGTGGTTCTCGAGATAATAATTTTTCCCGCTAAAACTTGCTCGGGGTTATACGTGGTACCCGCAGGTAGCCGAAGGCCGAATTTAAGTTTGCGGGGTCATACGTGGACGGGGAACATTCTGGCTAAATTTCAGTGCCCTAGCTTTTGTGGTCTCCAAATAATGATTTTTCCGCTAAAACTTTTGCGGGGTCATACGCGGTACTCACGGGTAAGTGAAGGCCGTACTTAAGTTTGCGGAGTTGCACGTGGGCGAGGAAAATTCTGGCTAAATTTCAGTGCCCCAGCTTTCGTGATTCCCAAGATAATTATTTCCCCCACCAACACTTTGACTTGATCATACGTGGTACCCGCAGGCAATTAAAGGCCGAATTTAAGTTTGCGAGGTCACATGTGGACGGGGAACATTCTTGCAAAATTTTAGCGCTCCAGCTTTCGTGGTCCCCGAGTTGAAAGTGCGGGACAAAATGCACTCGGACACACACACACACACACGCACGCACACACACACACACACACACACA